TTACCTAAGATAAAGAACACAAAGATATTGTTTATCTATGATAGAGAACACAAAGGACTGATTAAACTCGTATTTTACTGCGTTAATCGCTTATGTACTTCGATATCTAATGCTCCTCTATACAAGTTGCATTTTAGAGAGCTAACATTATCGGTTCGTTGTCGATAAAAATAATTTTCGGGATCTTTCGACACTCTACTTATCAAGTTCGATAACGAGACCGCGAAATGATCAGGGTCATCGTGCGAACCGAAGTAACGAAATTTCCGAACGGATCGCCCTTAATGGACTATCAAAAACATATTAGATCCTCGTTTGCAAGGACAGAAGAGAAGATAAGGCTCGCGGTATCACGTCCGCTTCCGGAGATTTCCCGATTTCGACAGGAAGCCATGAGATGTAGCGGTGCTACTCTCGCTTTGTCACTCAAACAAACAGCGTTGATCGCTCACATCGGAATGCTCACATCGGAATCCGCTCTTCTCTCCTTGTTTGTAAGGTCGCGCGTAAATCTTCGCCGGGATCCGGATTGGAGAAACGGGGATGAACGACACTTCCGCTTCCCGGCGCGACACTTATTCAACTCGGGGGAAGAGCCGCGGGCTTCTCCTCGAAACGATCGAATTACCGAGTCGCTTTTTTCCGCCGTTCTGGATACAACAACGTTTCGCCGGAATAACTCCATCGTGCGGAATTCCGAAGCGGAACTCGGCAGATTCGTTCGAATTCATCTTCTCTCGAGTAAATCGATTCGGATAAAAGAGTCGCTTATACGACTGGATTATATGATATAAATTCTCAAGACTTTTAGACTCTTGACGAAAGGTAAGGGGATTAAAGTGCAAGTTCTTAAATTAAAATAGTCGAACAAGTACAATTTGTATGAATAAAATATTATTTGGAAGATATATTTTTAGATTTTGCGGATTATATTGCAGGATTGAAAAGAATTGTCATTTTTTTTCCTTCAAAACAAGGAAATTTTTTGTTAAAGAAATATTTTTTTAATAAGCTTTTACTGAAAATTAATTTTAATTAACTATTTGTTTTATTATTAATTGAATTTCTTGTAACTCATAATACAAAGCTATTTGATAAAGAACATGCTGACTTTTCCTTTTAGAATATCGTTCTGGGTCAACGGACACGTTATGTAATGCCACGCAGGGAATTAGCAATGCAGATGTTGCGTTCCCATTTTACGGATGGGCACCCCGTATAAACCGCATATGGGTATCAAGTTGCTCTTAGTGCGCGTGCAAACATAGTTAATATCCCGATTTCGAGTTGTATTGAAACACTAACGCAATGTGTCAACATAAACTCATCACTTTCGAAACTTTCGAAATACACTGAGACAACGTCAGTAGATGTCAAAAATGATTATAGCTTCGACCAATGTTGAAGACATTTTGATATTTTTACACTTTTCGTATATTACTTTATGAATAATTATATTAAATAATTAAATTAAAATTATATTTGTTTGCGACTAAAAAATATGAAACAAATCAAAAGTGATAGGAAAAACATAATTCGTCAGAAAGATACTATTTTTCCAGAATAAATAACTTTTACATGTTGCACATTTTTATAATCTTCTTGCAGATCGACTAATAATAAGATTAAATGTAAAAAAAGCACTGAATATATATAATGAATATTTTCCTTCTCTGCGTTTTTGCATAATTTATTTAGCTGTTTCAAATTTTCATTATTCATCACATATAATTTTCATTTAATCTTAATCTCGTAATGAAGAAAATCCTTAGGCATTTATTTTTGATATCGGAATGATACTTATGTAAATATCATTTAAACGTGTTGATTTTGGAAAAAATATTTTTGTTTCGTTCGTGTGTTTCGTTCGTTTTTTTTCGCAAGATATCCGATAGCATGTTTAACAAATATTTTAAATAGGCGTCTCAAGTATACACTATACTACTACGCAAACAACACATTAATGTTGAAAAAAGGAAACTGTACTGTGAGTTTACATCTCGGATATGTTGTAAACAGTTTTGCCACGTTGGGAAAAAGATCGCCGCGAATGTCTCAGTTAGCTCTGTCAACTGTGAACATTTGCCTCGCGATAACTCCATATATGTTGCCAACTTTCAGCAAGTCAAACTGTTGACTTTCTTAAACTTAATGTAGACCATCCCGTTATATCTTTACATTTGGTTTACTCTTCTTTTACGGAAAGGTTTTGGGGAAAATTGTATGAATTCATAAAATTATATTCATAAAATTTATTTTGGATTATAAAAAGATGGATTACAAAATAAAAATATTTGTTACAATATTTTATGACACAATGCATATTATGTACGTTATTATTATATATAAAATTTTATTATAAGGGAAGAATAATCTTCTTATTTTTATTTATTTTTAACAATCAATAGTTATACCATAAAAAAATAATGATTACAAATTTCATAGCAGTCCATATTCAATTACAATGTTAAATCAATTATTCGGAAATGCGTTTGTGTACTTTACGATACGATAAGAAATTTAATCGCAAGAAACAAATTGTAATTTTCTTGTATTCCTACCGCCATTGCGTGAAGATTATTTGAATCTTTTCCCGCGTTAAATAAGAATAAAACTCTTTCTTATTTCTTCCTTTTGAAATCGGCACGAGTCAACACCGTCAAAGATCAGAATTTTCATAGTCTTGGTCTTTTTTAGATCTGTACCCAGTATACAATTGTTCCTAATAAGAGCCGTGTGTCTAGATCGTAAAATGTAAAGCCCGTGCAAGCAGTAAGTTATTTGCCTGATGCTTTGCGTTTGCAGAATAGCAATCTATCTCGAAAAAGCAGCAATTACGATTTCGACGCATAATACCTCTCGGTGTACCGGTGCAGCAAAATATAATAATGTTATTCCCGTATATCTTTCGTGATGTTTCTAGTATTTTTGTTTAGAAAAGAGCACTTCGCTCGAGATATTATTAATTTGAGAAAAATTTCTAATTATTCTTTCATATCATTTTTTTAATATCAAATAGCAACATGGAAAATATATATTTAACAACCTCGGTGCAATTCTATGCGTGATTTGCGCGAAGCTGATCGCAGTTTCGTAACAGTTAGCTAGTAATTATCGGAATGAAAATACGGTCATGACGTTTACAAGTTATCGGCGATGCGTGATCAAATATCCTCGTTTCTGCCCCTTCTCTCGGAAATAACTGGAACTCACGTTATTGACCTGGTGGTAAATAATTGCATCGTTAACGAGTAGTCAGAACAGCTGTCTCTTCCCACAATTAGTACAATAAGACATTTCGTAACAATTCAGCCGTAAAAGAAAGAATATTCTCGAATCAAAGCGAAGCTCTATGGAAGCATAATACCAGGTCAATAATTACTCAATTGCTTTTGATGAATTATATATACTATGATGAATTATAATCACTTGATCAGTACTTTTTAGAACATTTTATGAATTGATTATGAAATTTTAAATTCGTGATATTTAATGCAGTAAGTACATACAATATTCCTTGAAAGCTCGAGAAATTTCACGCGCATGGCGTCATTGATACTTATCGAATTATGCAATATCGAGTCTTATTATGCAGGTAATGT